TGATTCAAGAGCATTACATTTATTGTGCACTTATTTCTATTATTATTACATTGTAGTATATAATGAAATAATTATACAACTCACCATAATGCAGAATCAGTGGGAGCCCTGAGCTTGTTTTCCTGCAACTAGATGGTCCCATCTGGGGGTGATGGGAGACAGTGACACACGAAGTGTGTTGCTATGTCCAGGCTACTCTGTAATCTCGTTTTGGTTGCTGTCACTGCAGAAAACCCTGCTTCACAAAGATAGGATATTAGAAATGGAAGCAGGCTTTTCAGTGCTTTTGTGGTAATCTCAGGCTATTCCACCTTGACTTTAATCCAGAACGTATGGAGATTTGAAGTTGTCTCAAACATACTTTTAAGGCCGCCATCATTTGCGATCTCAAGTAGTTTGATCCTCTTCTAGCACGGACAAGGTCAGTTCACCTGGCTTATTCACAAATGGGTCAAGGATCCATTCCTGCCCAGTTCGGGGGTCTTGTGTGGTTGGGAAGTAATGCTCAAACTCTTTTGAAAGCTGAGATAGGTGATCATGCACCCGCTGGGAGAAAGAAGTCCCTGGGCTCCGTCTCTTTCCAAATCTCTGCTAATGCTTGAAACATGTGAAAAATCCCAGTGTTCACTCGTTGCCCCTATAAATCCAGTTTGGCTTTGAATGCGGCCACATTATCTGCAGACTTGAATACAGTTGTCGTTCTCCCCTGAAGTGACAGATTGAGTTCATTGAGCAGGCTGAATATGTCACACAAGTAAGCAAGTTTTGCGACCCATTCTGTGTCACTAAAATGTGCTGCCAGTGGTGACTGTTTTTCTAAAAGAAATCTCTGGAGCGGCTCTCATAACTCAGAAACTCTGGCCAGTGATCTACCTTTAGAAGCCGTCTCACTTCTGTGTATGAGAGAAGACGTGTGCTCTGCATCCATCTCCTTACAGAGCTGCATGAACAGACGTGGGTTAAGGGCATGTACTTTAATGTGGTTGATAATTTTAATCACATCCTGCAAAATGTTAAGTTCAGGTGACATTTTCCGGCTAGGCAGCATTTCTCTATGGATGACACAGTGCGTAGACTCACATTCAGAAGTGACCTCTTTGACCCGAGTAGTGAAACCAGAAAGCCGTCCAGTCATGGCAGCTGCTCCAACCGTGCATATACCGACACAAAATGACCAATTCAGTTTTCCTGATATGTAATCATTCAAAGACTTGAATAGTTCTGCCGCTGTGGTATTGGTTGGCAACAAAAGTGCACATAGCATATTCTCATGCACATCCTCCTGAAAAATATATTGCACAAAAACAAGCATTGTTGCCTTGTTGTCAGCATTGGTAGACTCATCAACCTGGATTGCGTACCACGGTGACTCATTACTCCTCTCTAACAATTGCGCCTTAATATGCTCTGCTATTTCATCAATTCGTCTGTTACGGTGCTAGCCAAAAGAGGAACACGTGCCACCTTTTGAACTGCAGCCTCTCTTAAAAGTTCACGATAGATGTCCTTAGCAGCAGGCAGGATCAACTTCTTCACCAATAGTAAAGGGCTTCTTAGCTTTAGCAATGTGGTTAGCCACTAAGAATGATGCTCTCAGTGCAGACACATTTGATGAAATGGTGGCCTTCAATAATTGCTTCTGTTCTTTGTGTTCACGTTTTTTTCTTTTGAAAAGCTCCAAAGGCTTGTCTTTTAATGCAGGGTGCTTGGTCTCCATGTGGCGAAGCAGTTTTGAAGGTTTCATGGCTTTGTTGGGTAGCCGGTTGCCACATATTTATACAAAGCAGGCTTGGAGAGTGTGAATCACCTGTTGCAATGAACCCATTAATTTAAGTAGGACTCTTGGTATTTTCTTTTAAATGTAGCTTTCTTTTTGTTGGCAGTCTTAGAGTCTTCTGCTGTCTTATCATTTGGTCTTTCCTCCTTTTCAAAGAAGCTCTCCAGCGACATTTGTTTTTTTACTCATTTTGGCTAAGGTTAGCTTGTGGGCTTACCAAAACTGTGACTGAGACAAGTGCTCAGTACGGGAAAGAGGCGCAGACAGAAGTGGTAAATAAAATAATGGGCAGGCCATGTGCAGACTAAAATAAATGTCGGATTCTGACTTAAAGCCTGCCACCAGATGCAGCTGTACAATTGAAGTACATCAACTCACTTGCCACTATAAAGCCTGCCACCAGATGCAGCTTAATTATCACTTGCCACTCACTGATAGGGTTTTGATATGTGTCTGCAAGCAATTGATTTATTATGGTCTCTGCTAATGATAATCTGTATTTGCAGCCTCTCCCCAGCGCTAGCATCACTGCCTCATCTCCACCTCAGACCATCAGGCATTAGATTCTCATAAGGAGCGTGCTACCTAGATCCCTCACATGTGCAGTTCACAGTAGGGTTCACGCTCCTATGAGCATCTAATGCCGCCGCTGATCTGACAGGAGGCGGAGCTCAGGTGGTAATGTGAGCGTTGGGGAGCTGCTGTAAATACAGGTGAAGCTGCGATCGCTTGCCTGCTGCTCACCTCCTGCTGTGCGGCCCGGATCCCTCACAGGCCACGGACTGGTACCGGCCTGTGGCCTGGGGGTTGGGGACCCCTGAGGTAAAGGACATGAGTGAAGCTGTTGAAAGATAAGCTGAGGCATAGTAAAAGTTTTCAGAGTTTGAGTAAATCGATTCTGGTGGGGCAGTGCCAAACTGGAAGTGGTTAGGAACATCCTACTGATATGAGGCAGGGAAAAGACTGACAGTGAAAGTGCAGAAGCAAAGAAAGGAAATTATTTGATTGGCTATAGTTTAAAGCCTAATTGGCTGTTGTAATGGTTATCCTTAGTGTTTTGATTTTGTAACTTTGAGGCATTTACAGGTTTAGGTTTTGGTTTGCTTACAGAGGTTGCAATGGAATTCGGGCCTCATCAGTTGAACAGCCTCCTTGTTTAATTTAACAAGTTACAGAGCTGGGAAAATGCGGCTTTAGTTTGACCTCAGAGTAGAGTAATGAAGGGAGACTGTCGGAGATAACACTAGAATTTGCGAGTCAGATCTTGTCCCTCCTTATGGCTTCTCATCTTGTTTAGAGGAAAAGCCAAAGTCCCTATAATGGCCTACAAGCCACTTCACAATCTTCTCCCTCCCCCAATTCCCAGTGTTTTCTTCCTTGCTCCCTTTTATCTAGCCATGTTGGTCTCCCATTGTTCCTTCATCAGGCCAAGAGTGCTACCTTAGGATGTTTACTTCCTCTGCCTGGAGCCTTCTTCTCCCAGGTGGCTGCATGGCTTACCCTTCACTTATTTTAGGTCAACTTTATCAGAGAGGCCTGTCCTGACTTCTGTTACCTCCCCTTCCCATTCCTGTTACTTTGCTTTATTTTTCTTCATAGTACTTAGGAAATACATATATAGGATCACTAACATCCTATGTATGTTTGTTTGTGAATTGTTACTTTGTATTCAGCCATTAGCGTGTATGTTCTCTGAGGGTGAGGACTTACTGCTGTATCCCCAGCAGTGCCAGGACCAGTGCCTGGCATGTAGCTCATACTCAAGCATATATTAGACAAAAAAGAAAAACAAGAGCAGGAAAGTGAGTGTGAGGGAGGGAAGGGCTTGGATATGGATCCTATATTGTTTTGCATACCAGGCAGGGGAATAAAAATTTAATTTATTCGTTAGTGGTAGCTATTAAAGGGTTTGAACAGGGGAATGATAGCAAAAACATTTAGTTTTGGAAGGTTAGTTTGGTAATGATGTGTAGGATGGATTTTTAAAAAGAGTCACATCAACCCCCTTTCCCTCCCCAAGTCAGTACCATGTAACATAGCTGTATGTGCTTTAAAAAAAGAAAAAAATTTTTTTGAAATAGTTTGACTCTCAAGAAACTGCTAATGTAATTGCCAAAATAGGCTAAAAGCAAATTCCCTTCCTGTACCTCTTCCCCTTGTTTGCCCCAATGATGGTATCTTACATTACTGCAGTACATTGTCAAATCCTGGAACAAGACCTTGGTATAATACTATTAACTCAGGTACTGGCCTTAGTTGGATTTCATCGGATTTTACATGCACTTGTGTATGTGTGTGTGTGTGCGTGCGCACATGCATAGTTCTGTGAAATTTTATCTCGTGTAGAAATGTGCTTTTTAATGTTTCTAAATCTAATTTTGAAGTCTTCGACAAAGTGTTAGAAACTATCTTTGATACCACTCTCCAGGTTCTTGTCCTCCCACATTTACATATGAATAAAGTGAATGGCCTGTTTTATTTCTTTGTTCTTCTGCTGTGGTGTTTCTTTGTAGCCTTTCCTTTCTGCACCAGAAATGCTTTTTAAATTTTGCCTCTCCAGTATTGCAAATCGTATTACCTACCAGGTCTTTTTCTTTTTTTTTTAATTTTAAAACTAGTGCATTACCTTCTTATTTCTTTCTATTGGTCATTTATCTACTTAACAACCCTTCATATCTTTTCTGACAGTAAAATATTTCTACAGGACTGTTAACAGGGTTCTAAAGTTTTTCCTTTGCCTACCCTGCCCAACTAATTAGAAATATATTTCTGGTAAGTAATTTACCAATAATTTCAGAATTGGGAGGGGTAGTGGGTTGGAAGGAGATTGACTAAATTGTTTAAGCCCTTTATTCATCCTTTTAAAAATCAAACTTTTAATGTCTTTAGATATTCTGCTAGCCATATTATTTTACTAAAAGCCCACTTCATTAGTTTTTATATATCATGGGAAATATTTGTCTTTATGTTATTTACAGACTTCCTAAAACAAAGTGTTTAAGTTAAAATTTTATAGTTTAATTTCTGCAGCTGTCCTACATATGTGCTATATATATTTATATGTGTTCTATATGAGATATACACATAGCTGCTTATATGTTGCTGATACTTAAGGTGATAGTTGATGGTATTCAGTAGGATTCTAGATTAATATGCAGGGCTATGTGTGACAGCTGAAGAAAAACCAAGGTCTGTATGAACATACTTGATACATTTCTTACAGGTTCTGAGTTCTGTACGCACGGAATGGGATCCACTGGATGTTCGCTTTGGCACCAAACAGCCTTATCAGGTGTTGACAGTGGAGTGCTCCATCAGTGTAGACAAAGAGCCCATGGCTGACAGTTGCATCTATGAATGTGTTCGGCACAAAATCCAGTGTGTATCAGTCACCAGAATACCACTAAGATCGAAGGCCATTAGCTGTTGCAGGAATGTTACTGAAGACAAACTGATTCTGGGCTGTGAAGATTCTTCAGTAATTCTTTATGAAACTCACCGTAGAGTGACTGTCTTAGCTCAGGCTGAAGTTCTGCCTTCATTAATAAGCTGCCACCCAAGTGGTGCCATTCTGCTAGTTGGCAGTAACCAGGGGGAGCTGCAAATTTTTGATATGGCTCTTTCTCCTATTAACATCCAGCTTTTGGCTGAAGACCGCTCACCTAGGGAGACTCTACAATTCAAAAAATTCTTTGATGTTTCTAGCAGTCTTGTTCAAATGCAGTGGATAGCTCCGCAGGTTGTTTCTAAGAAGCCTGAAAGTGGGGACATCTATGATCTCCTCTTCCTCAAGTTTGACAGAGGACCTTTGGGTGTGCTTCTGTTTAAACTTGGTAAGTCAAGGAAGTTGGTGAGTAAATAAATTTTTTATGATGGTGACAATATAACTAAGACAATAAAACTATTCTTGGAATGTAGATTTTCTGTTTGTCATTCCATCAATGTGCTTGCCTTTCAAACATTTCATATAGTTTCCTTAAGAAAGCTTTGTGGATGATTTTCTAAATGTCAAGGTACATTATATATTGAAGAATTTTGAAATTGCATTAATTTTCCATTGTGATGAATAAAAAGACTGAATTAGCCACATTTGCTGCTTTCCAAAATAAACTGTCTATTAAAAAATTCCTTAAGAAATAGTACACATGAGAATATATTAAAAGTATGTCCATTACAAAATTCTGTAATACTTTTCTATTAAAATTATTTTAGATTATAGGTGTCCATTTCTTCCCAGATTGGAAATGTGTAAAGCAAGTGTTTTAAAAAAGAGAAAGGAAATATTTAGTTAGCATTTACTAAAGATTTTAGATTAAAATATTCAAAAGTATTAATCAATATTTGGAAAAATGTGTATTGATGTATCCCATTTCAACCAGGAAGCTTTAAAGCGGAATTTTATTATTGTGATTTTTTTGCCTTTTGTAGTTTTGCATTACTGGCTATGTCCTGAAATACATGATATCCTTTAGGCAGTTTGTTGGGTTTTTTTTTTAGAGTTGGGTATTTATTTTTAATTTTTTTGGCTGTACGTGGGCTTTCTCTAGTTGTGGAGAGCGGGGGGCTGCTCTTTGTTGCAGTGTGCAGGCTTCTCACTGCAGTGGCTTCTCTTATTGTGGAGCACGGGCTCGGTAGTTGTGGTTCTTGGGCTCTAGAGCGCAGACTCAGTAGTTGTGGCGCACAAGCTTAGTTGCTCCACGGCATGTGGATCTTCCTGGACCAGGGGTCGAACCCGTGTCCCCTGCATTGGCAGGTGGATTCTTACCACTGCACCACCAGGGAAGTCCCTTTAGGCAGTTTTGTATAATTTAACATTCTTGAAAGAACCTCACTTAGGTTTTAAAAAACCGATTTTAATTAATGCATATCACCGCAACTTGACAACATAGAAAAGTAAATACACTTAAAAACCCCTTATAAGATTTGGCTCTGTTCTAAAAGTTAAGTTTTTAAGACATTGTAGTGTTTGTTAAATAGCTGTCAGTTTACTTTGTTTTTCTATGGATCTACTTCCCCCTGAAATTGAACACATGAAATAAATCTAATGAAAATGACTTGACTAACTTGAAAGATATCAGGGATATAATGTGAGGGCTATGTTCTTTCCACACATTAAAAATGCAGCTAAATCCATTCATAATGTCAGTATTGTCCAAGAAAAATATGTTTGGAATCTCATTTATTATGAGATAATCCAGTTCTACTTTGCCCAACTACACATTTAACAGTGGTATGTCTCTATACTCAACACTTATTAAAGTGGATGTTAGATGTTTTGCATATCTGTTAAAACTCCCTCCCCCCTCCCTTTTCTCTCTCTCTCAATAACCCAAGTTACCTGTCAAACAGAAGGCTGTCTTCTGACGTATACCTAGCCTTTCTTCAGCCCTGCCTTGTGGGCCTACTCACAACAGCTTTGCAAAAAGCACAGCTTTCTCTTCCTATCTCTAGCACATTTGCCTTCTTACTAAAGTAAACAGGCTCTCAGTGTAGGGATTTAGAGGGCTTCCTGCTAATTGCCAGCTTGTAAACTTAATTGGACTATCTCCCTGGGCACTGTTCCTAAATCAATTAGGCAATGAGTTGGCTGTCACCTCTTTTTCCCAAGTAGGTCTCTTGGAAGAGAATTATCCAATAGAAGTCAAGCATTCAAATGAAAAGGTGATAACTTCTGCAACTGACATTTATCATTTAAATTTTATTTTCAATATGACTGAAGTTTTATAGAATAGGGAAATTTTACAGGCTCTTTAAAGGATCTAAGGATGGAGTTCCCCAGGATTTTTGAAAATATATTATAAGATTAATGTTTATTACAGATTATTTTTCCTAGGAAGAGTAGATTCCTTGAAACAGTAGATTCCAGCTAACAGATCTTTTTTTTTTTTTTTTTTTTAAAGAAAACCCTGTTTAAAGAACAGATTTTTCTTAGGATCTGCTACTAAATACATCCAGAAATTTTAATATACTTCTTGAATTAACACAGTGCTGATTCTGGGCATCCATGTGGAATTTTCATGTATAATTCAAGTTACTGCATATATAAACAGGTAGTTGCCTGTGCAGTTTCCCCACTAGGGAGCATTTATGAGATATTTTTCATATGCTTGTTATGCAAGCCTTTGGAAATTTTGACATGAAAGGTGTAGCTTACAATGTAAGAAGCTGAGATAGATCATGGTTTAAAATAGAATGCTGTCATATGTAAACGTGTCAGTGGCTACTGCCAAGATGCTAAGATTTTTGGAATTTGACTCTTAGAATAGGTCAGTTAGTGTCATGTTGAAAGAAAACTCTGTTGCAAGGCTAGGGCTTCCATTCTAAATCCTTATAATTATCGCACAAATGCACTGTGGTTAAAAGGCCATCACCACTGTTGTAAGAATGCGAAAAACATGTCTTCCTCAGGAGGGAGCTAGAAGTGTCATCCTCCTATGTGGAAGCAATGTGTAAAAAGAATTTCTTTACCTGACAATCATCATTCATATTTCCATATACATATACTGCGATTAAGAGGAGTCCCTAATTACTGAGATATTAAAGCTCTTCCATTCTCATCAGTACATTTTCCAGCCTTCACTGCTGTCTTTGAACTCACATGATCAGCTAGCTCCTTGCCCTCTCAACAGAGAATCTCACCTTTTACTTGTCACTTCATTAATTTTATCTGCTCCCTACCACCCACCCAACGACTTACCTACATGTACATAAATCTTTTCAGTTTCAATTCAGTGGAAAAGGAGCCTTCCTCTTGTCTAAGACTAGTTCCAGCACTGGTTCCACTCTGGATCCCATAACATTCCCTTTGATACCTTTATTCTGTCACCTTCCCCACTCTCCCCATGAATTTTGCTACATCATCAGGTACAGGCCCAAGCCACACCATGAAACAAAGAAACATACATACATCTCTTCTTTAAAATTATTTCCCCTGTTATTAATCAAATGTTCACCTTCCTTTCATAGTCAAACTCATTGAAATAGTAGTGAACACTGAATTTCTCTGCTTCTTCACCTCCCATTCACCCCTCACAGCACCGCCTTCTGGCTCTTTTCTTCAGTGTTCTCCTGGAACTGCTCTTGGAAAGGTCACTAGTGACGTCCTACTTGATACACATATTTCTCTTATGTTACTTGATGACTTTTCAGCATTTGATGGTTGCTGACCACTTTCACCATCATAGAACTCTCATCATACTTGCTTCTATGACTCCAGATGCAACTTTTCGTCACTTTTTAATGCTCTTCTTCTGCCTCCTCATGAAAATATTGAGGCTCTCTAAGGTTCCATTTTTAGCTCTCGTCCCATTTTATACAGATTGAGAGTTTATTTTTGATTTTGGTATCCTATCTCTGACTTCAGCCCAGACCACTCCTCACTCCACATCCACATATTAACGTGGCTTGCTGGATACCTCCCCCTGAATGTACACAGGTATACAGATTTATTATGTGCAGATATGAAGTCATAATCTTTTTCCCTGCTTCTTGCTCCTATATTCTCCAATTTGAGGGATGGTACAGTTATTTATACAGACAGAATCCCAAGTCAGAAGTTATCCTAGAATCCTCCCTCACCCCTGATGCCATATCCAATCAGCTACCAAATCCCATCAGTTCTGCCTTTCTAAATACGTACTGTCAAAAACATCTCAGTCTATTCATCCTTGCTGTCATTACCTTAATCTAGATCTTTGCTGTTTTACCATGATCAAGCAGTGGCCCTCTATCTGTAATCCTCTGTCTTCCAATCTTCCCAACCCACCGCTCAATTAATCCCCTGAACTGCCACCAGAGTGCAGATTTGGTCATGGATTCTACAGCCTGAAATCCTTCAGTGGTTAATAAGCCTGTCTGCGTCTCTGGCTTCATCTCCCCAACTGTGCTTCCCTAGTAGCTCCCCAATCACAGCATGTGCTCTCACACTCCTTCTTTCCATAGTGGTGTTGAGTATTCCATCTACCTAGAGTGCTCCCACAGTGCTTCATAACACCTACAAAGTTAGGAAAAGGTTAAAAGTTCAAATGATGATATTAAACAAATAATTAAAGCTAACTTCTTCCCTCTCATAGGATTTTGAAAATCACAGGCAATGTGTGTGCATGTGTGTGTCACTCTATCTAAGAAACAAGTAGTCTGATTTTTCTCATAGAACTTTTGTAAGAAGTATGTGTTCTTTAAAAGAGTTATTTTTAATGAGTTATTTAAATTTTACTTTACCCAAGTGGTAATTGGTGGTAATTTATTGCTGGAAGGATATGTCAAATACTTTATTAGATGCCTAGTCATCTTAAAACTAGATCTTATATCATTTTAGATGGATTGCTGTTCCAGACAGCATTCTGCTTTCTAGAGTGATGTGATGGATTTTTAAATCAAGTTTATTGAGGTATAATTTACATAAAATTAATTGTACCTGTTTTAAAAATGCATAGGTCAATGAGTTTTGGCAAATATGTATATCCTCATGATTACCACCACAATCAAGATGTAAAACAATTCCCTCACCCTCAAAATTCTCTCAGCCCCTTTGCAGTCGATCCGTGCCTCCCTCAAAGCTAAAGTGCATTGATCTGCTCTCTGTTATTACAGATTAGATCTGCTTTTTCTAGAATTTTATAGAAATATACTCAAAAAATAGGTCCTCTTTTGTGTCTTGCTACTTTCACTCAGTAAGTATGGAAGAGTTTGTGAGACTCTTCCATGGATATCTGTAAATTTTCACTTATATTACTGAGTAGTATTCTATTATATAGATAAATCACAATTTGTGTATCTTTTCACATGTGGATGGACATTTGGGTTGTTTCCACATTTAAGCCAATATTGAAAA